TTTCTCTTTTTTAAATTCGAAATTGCAAATATAATTAAAATGACTTTTTAAATTCGGAAAGGGCTTTTCGAAACAGGGGCTACGAGCTGTCTGTACACCCGAACTCTCGCGGGGAACCGCGTCTGCGCCCTGCACGCCCCGTGTGCAGATCTGCTGCAGCCCTGCGCGTTTTTCCTTTTATTTCATCAAATAAACCTTTTTTATTTATTCTTATTTCATTTATTCACTTTAACTTCTAAAATAAACCAATTTACTGCAGCAGATGCTGCTGCTGCTCCCTGCTGCCCGCTGCACACCCCAGCACCTCGGGGCTTCTTGTGCATGCACGGCGGCGCCGTTCGAGCCTTTCCCAGTTTTATTTCCCCTTTTTAATTTAGTTTTCAGTTGCAAATAAACAAATAAAAACATTATAACATTTTAGATTTATTTAAATGCTTATTTCGTTGCTGCAGCGGCGAGAAACGGGGCCGCCTCAGCTGCGTTCGCCGCTAGAAATGGTGCGGCGTCACAAACGGCAAACTGTTCAAGTAAATACTTTTTGGCCAATTTTTGGGAGTTTTTGACACTAATAAAACATTTTTAAACGCAAAGAGCCTTTTAATTGCATTTATAAAGAAGAAACACACTCAAACCCGCGGAAATAAGACGAAATCGAAAGATCTAAAGTAGAACGATTGCAAGAGGCATTCTTCAAACTTGTATTTTCTGCAGATCTCCTTCGTTTTTTTCATTTTAAAGGTGAAAATATGAATATATTTATTTTAATTTACATATACATCTTTTAAAAATGTAAATATGTTTAAAATTGATGAAAAATGCTCAAAATTCTGTTATTCATGTTCACCAGCTGGTATATGAATTTTGCACAAATAGCCACATTCATATGCTAGTTAATAAACAGAAACAATGCAGATAAATGCAATAATAAATATAATAAATATAGTTATAAATGTACAAACATAAAAACAAAAAGACAGACTTTAAATAAAATAAAAATAAAAAAGTTATTTGAATACATATCTAAATAGTCTTTTTCCGCTTTGTTTACTTTAGAATTCCCTTTGAAATCCTTTAAATTATTTGTAATTCATTTCAAATTGATTTTGAATTCTTTTTATATTAACTTTAAATTATTCCCTAAGTTATTTATTTAAAAACCTTCAAGTGCGCCTTTTTGCTGCTGCTGCTTCATTTTGATTTGCATTTATCCTTTTGTTCTTTTATCGGCAGCAAAGGCAAAACGTCAGCTAACGCAGCAGCAGCAGCAGCAGCAGCGAGAGCCGCTGCTGCTCCTTCGCTGCTGCTGCAGCAGTAGCAGCAGCACTGGCAGCTGCTGCTGTTGCAGCAGCACGCGCTGCTATGTTTGCAGTTACTGAACGAGTTGCAGAGGCAGCAGGGGCCGCTGCTGCAACAGATAGTTCTTTTTGCTGTTGCTGCTGGGGTAGTGCCTGCAGCAGCTTCATCAGCAGCTGCTGCTGCAGCGTCTGCAGCAGGAGCTGCTAATGCAGCAGCTGCATGTGAGGCATCAGCAACTGCAGCAGCTGCAGAAGCAGCGACTGCTGCAGCTGCTGCAGGCCACCGGCAACTGCAGCTGCAGCAGCTGCGGCAGCAGCTGCCACAGCAGCAGCTGCTGCAGAAACAACTGCAGCAGCAGCAGCAGCAGCAGCAGCTAGACTGAGTAGAACTCGAAGTCTCTTTCGTGTTTGCGCACATGAGCCTTCCAGCCCTTTTCAAAGTCCTTCGCCAGCACCACATATCTGCAGCAAGCAGCAGCAGCCACAAGAGCCACAGGAACTTAGCAGCAGCAGCAGCAGCAACAGCAGCAGCAGAAGCAAAAGCAGAAGCAGCAGCAGCAGTAGTAGCAGCAGAGCCAGACTTGACAGCACCGCACGCTCGCGCACTGCAAGCCGCAGCAAAAGCCGCAGCAGCAGCAGCAGAGCAGGCAGCAGCATCAGCTGTTGCACAGGCGCCTGCAGCAGCAGCAGCTGCTGCTGCTGCAGGCGCAGCAGCAGCAGCAGTAGCAAGTTTACCTATTTTTCCTGACTGCCTGCATGCCGGCCTCTTGGCAGATGGCAGCAATATCAGCAGCAGATACTTTTTCTGGCCTCGAGATGACTGAAAGAAACAAATTAAAAACATAAATAAAATAAATAAATAAATAAATAAATAATGAATAGATAAAATTATAAATAGAAGGAGTGTAAAACTGAAGAGGGAACGCGAAGACGGTGCATGCAAGGGTTCAGCATTTCGCGCTCGGGGTCGCAGTCCAGGGTTTAGGGTTTAGGGTTTAGAGTTTAGGGTTTACAGTCTTCGAGGTCAACTTCTGGCGAAATGTTCATTTTTGCTGTTATTGTTTGCAAAATAAGTCTTCTTTGGCGTCTATCGGGGAGGGGAAATTCAATTTTGCGGTCAAGTCGCCCGGGCCGCAGCAGCGCCGGGTCGAGAGTATCTGCGCGATTTGTCGCCATTATGACCTTCAAAACCAAACCCAAACCGCTCATTTCATTTCTTTTATTCTTTTCCACTCATTTTGATCCCTTTTAGGGCTTTTTCCCCCCAAAAATGGACCTAATCGGCCGCAGTTCAGAATTCGAACCCGCCCGCCTCTCGGGTGTCTGCGCAGCTCCTCGCCGCCACGCAGGCGGGGATAATCCCCCGTGTTAAACCATTTTTATTCATTTTAAATCAGTTTTACATCAATTTTAAACCATTCTACTTTATTTATTTTATTTATTCCCCTTCGTTTCTTTTTAACCCACTTTAAACCGCAGAATTTGGCGCATTTTTGCATTTGATTCAAACCGCCATTTTGACCTCCACGAACATCAACAAGTCCACTTGTATTCAAATTCATTTCATTTGATTTATTTGTTTGTTTTAATTCACAAGTAAATAAATAAAAGTAATATTAGTAATTATATAATAAATGTATAAAATAAATGGAAATAAAATGGCTTTTATTCATTTCATTTCATTCGAAATAACCAGCTCATCCATAGGGGCTCAAAAGGCTCAAACCCTGAACTTATCATCTTGTTGCTGCTGCAGCTGATTCTGCTGCAGCTGCTGCTGCAGCTGCTGCGGGAGCTGCAGCAGCTGCAGCAGTAGCAGC